CCCAGTTGCCTGCAGAATCTTCTATGTCTCCCTCGGCAGCATCGTTGCATGTGTAATTAGCCACTGATCCAGGGGAGAACCCCCCAGTTGATGTTAGTCCGTTTTCCATTGCGTTCAGGGGAGGGCAGATAACTAAGAAGAAAAAATGAAAAATTGGACTGGATAATACATCGGAAGCCTTAGTACTACTATACCAGTTAGAGGTGTGGGTGTAGAAGTACTAAATGTAGGTGGCTCAGGATCTGTGAAAAAGGTGTAAGTTAAATATTGTTTCACTGTGCTACAATAGCCGTACTTCCACAGATAACACTAGCATCCTCAGAATGGTCACAGTTGTGAACACCCCAGCCATTGTGTGGACAGTCCTCTATCGCCTCGTGAGCGGCTGTGCACCTCACATTGTCCATCCATATGGGTCCTGTTCCACGGCCAAAGCGTGCCCTCCCTGGAGCACTAACAGCTGAACCACAACCAACTTGTTCGCAAACCACCTGATAAAAACACACACAAGAACATAAAACGCACCGCTATTTTGATAAATTATTTGCTTACATTTGCATCACCGATGCCCCAACTGTCATCGCAGATCGTTCCCCATTGACCGTCATGATACACTTCAACTCTGCCCTCACAAACACTGTCACCAGCGCCAACAAGTCGAACTGTGAGATAACACTTGCTTAATTGTGGAGTATTATACAACAAAATGTTCATACCAGCTTCCACCGTGTGTATGACATATGATGCTGAGTATTCGTTTCCTAACATGGCCACAACAAGTACAATATACGTCTGCATGTGCTCCAGACCAGTTATCCTTTGAGATGTAACAGAGCCAACGTTAAAATAGATAATGTGGGTTCCGTTGAAGAGGACTATGGCATATGTGTATGTCGCAATCCTCGGAGGAGGATCCCAGGTGATTAAGATGGTGCTGCTATTCTCTGTTTCTACCTCCATGTTCCTGGGAGCTGGCAACGTCGCATTTGCTGGAGAAGAAAAAACGCTACAATAACACAACAAACTATGACATACACCCCTTCACATGAAGAAGCTTACCGCTGAAGTACAAGGAACTCTTTAGCATTTTTTCATATACTGCATTTAAGAGGAATATGTTGAGGTTGTTCCTGTTCACAGAAGTAAGCTGTGCCAGTGTGTTTGAACCAGGCAGTTGCACATTTCTGTAGGTGCTAGTGACCGTTCCATCTGAAATGACTACTGCAGCATGAACGAGGTGGTATGATGGAGGAGGTCCATTGACAGGTTGGTCCCAGCGAAGGATGCACATGGTGACAGAGGGCCATTCAATCCTCAGATTTCGGGCTAGAAACTGTCGCTTTTCCCTTGCTACAGCTGTATATAGCGAATGTGAGAGAATGTCAATGAATGGGGTTTAGCTAGACTCTTACAAGTTACTCCAGAGCAGTCCACTTCAACTGTCTCTTGCTCAGCAAATTGAACCTGTATAAGAGTGATTGATTAGCTAACCCTATAATAAAGTGTGCAAACCCTCAGCGAACTGCGCATGCGCGATACTGCTAAAATTGATGGGCTGGGCTATTTTTACTCGCAAGTAGCTCGCGGAGAGTCTGACACGGGCTAGCTACAGTAGTAGATAGCATGCGGGAGTCGATACATGCCATTCGTTGTGACTTCCTGTGCCCCCAAGGGCGATTGTGCATATTGGCTTTATCGGTTTTCAAGGCATATCTCTCGAACGCAGTCGTTTCAGGAAATTTGCCCTTTTTTCAGGCTCGCGTAGTTCTGAAGCCGCTGGTATCGCTAATAGGCCGCCTCGTAGCCTGTAGTGCCAGAACAAGCGTCGACACACACACACACACTCACACACAGACACAGACACACACAAACAAACCAACTAGGCTTTACTGTAGATAACCTTCGCTGCGCATGCAGGCCGAGGGTTAATTATGTACTTCCTTCGTGACTTCACTGATCTGATCGTGCACGCAAGCTTAGAAACGAAAACACACTGATCCTGAGGAATTTGCCTTACGTCCTTCTCCGCTAGCAGTTTTCGGGTTTTGTTCTGGTCGGGCTCGCTAAGTGGCACCAACATGGCGGCCTCTTCATCTCTCACGACAAACCTGTAGAGGATCTGCTCGTCCTTTGACACCTGCAACAAAGTTACGTAAGTAAGTCTCGCTTTTCCACGCAAGCGCAACGCGCTCGTTAAATGTTGCAGTTAGAAAATTAGCTACCAGTCCTTCATTGATGAATCCAAGCCGCTCCGCCACTTCATCGGCTGCGTCAGGTCCCCCAGTAATGCCAACGATCCACTCAGTCGTGTATTCTTCATATTCCTCCACATTTTTCTGGTCGCTGGCTGCGTCCAGCATCTTTTCGGTCCCATAGAAAACGAACTGACACACCTCGCTCAGGCTAGTGAGGTCATGTGACGGAAGAGATCCACTTGATGGTGCCGAGAAAACCACCTGCAGCAGCAGAAATGGCAGGAAACGGCCTAGCATTGTTTCGTGAAAATTATGCCCGCTTTCGCAAAGTGTAGCGAATCGAGTTGCGCACCAGTCGCACTGGTTCGCGCTTTTATATCCAGCTCGGCAGAGCATATATAGGAGGGTGGGAATCACTCCACTGCTGGTGACTGAAAGTCTCGGCTACACGAAAGACAAGCTTGTTTGTACCACAGAACCCTAGAAATCAAAGGGACCGCGCGTAGTGCCACTAATTAAACCGCCTCGTGAGTGTAGTGCCACTAAACCGCCTCGTGAGTGTAGTGTAACCTATACAACCCTAAGCCCTCGGATGGCGACGGGATAGAGTCCAGAAGGCCGTGGTTCTGCTCTCCACTTTCTCTCTATGTTGTTTGTCTATTCTGCACCTTTACTGGTGTGTGCATCATCAATAATATTTGGGATTATCTATAATAATAGGTACATGCACATATACCTAGATAACCCCGTCGCTCAAAAGTCCACAAATAATAACGGCCCTGTACTTTCCCCAAATGACTCTATCCCGTCGCCATCCGAGGGCTTAGGGTTGTATAGGTTACACTACACTCACGAGGCGGTTTAGTGGCACTACACTCACGAGGCGGTTTAATTAGTGGCACTACGCGCGGTCCCTTTGATTTCTAGGGTTCTGTGGTACAAACAAGCTTGTCTTTCGTGTAGCCGAGACTTTCAGTCACCAGCAGTGGAGTGATTCCCACCCTCCTATATATGCTCTGCCGAGCTGGATATAAAAGCGCGAACCAGTGCGACTGGTGCGCAACTCGATTCGCTACACTTTGCGAAAGCGGGCATAATTTTCACGAAACAATGCTAGGCCGTTTCCTGCCATTTCTGCTGCTGCAGGTGGTTTTCTCGGCACCATCAAGTGGATCTCTTCCGTCACATGACCTCACTAGCCTGAGCGAGGTGTGTCAGTTCGTGTGGCGTGTGCTTGCTATCAGCGCCTGCTATGTGATAGCGAGGTCACGCTGCGGGCGCCCTAAAATAGTAGGGCATTAGCTAGCTACGACCGTCGGAAGGTATGGCTCAAGAAGACTACATATGCATTTTGTTGGCCAATTTTTCTAGAGTATCACACAGGGGCCACCATTAACCCGGCGCGCATGCGCAGCGAGGGTTACTGTAGTTGTCGTGAGTGGTCTATCTGTCTCTGTCCGTTACCCAACATCTCACTTCACGAGCCATGCATCGCTCCACAAGCGTCGGGTATACGTCGAAAAGTATGTAGGGTTTCTCTGAAACTGCTGCGTTCGAGAGTTACGGCGTGAAACACGAGCGAAAAAGCCAATATAACAGGCTTACCTCGAGCGGGTTCGCTCTCTCTGTGTATCTTGAAGGCACAAGAAGTCACAACGAAGGTCGTGTATCGACTCCCGCATGGTGTCTACTGCTGTAGCAAGCCCGTGTCAGACTCTGCGCGAGCTATATACCAGCGGGAGATCGAGACCTAGAGAGTAAACGCATACTAATAGCCCAAACCATCAAATTAGCGGTATCGCGCATGCGCAGTTGCGAGATACTGGTGGATATTATTCCAGGTTACAGCGAGCTATTTCCAGTGACATGCACTGTGGCTAGCGAGCTACGGGATAATTCTCAGAACATCTGCCTCGGCGGGCAGCGTAGTCTAGTGCCCGGACCTTTCACAAAATATATGCGCACGCGTGCGCGAGGGAGGGTGCGCGTATATTTTGTGAAGGGTCTGGGCACCAGACTATATACGGGCAGCGAGGCTTAGCTAATGGCTAATGGTGGTCTCTCTCTGGCACCACGGGCTGGCGAGCATATAGGGGCGACGCGATGCGTTCGGGAGAAAGCATAGGTCTCAACTATCCCGAATTAGGCGGGACAGTATATACCGATTTTCACAGCCTTGTCTCGCCAATCACCTTGCTTGTCCCGATTTCTCGGACGTACTCGCGCGGTAGTGAAAAAACGGTTTGCAGCAGAGCAACGAATCATGGACAACTGGACTCTGGTACTCTTTAGCACTGCGTATATGTCAATGTACTGTTGCTTCAAGCATAGACTTGTAACCGGCGAGCGATCGCGGGTAAATACTAGTGGGCAGCTCCATACGCGCATGCGCACTAGGTTGTTTGCGCGTGTGTCCCGATATTGTGCAAGATATCCCGATTACTAGTAGGCGAATGCATGGAGCGAGCACACAATGACTGTATCGGCACGAATCATCCTAGCCTATTTACAACTTGAACCTTAGAACCACGAAGATCGGAAAGAGGTATATACAGCCTCGGTCAGGTATCGAAAAGTGCAGCGAATGCCAGCGAATACACGAGAGTTCTTTCGCTGGTTAATTTCGCATCGATAGGACAGCAAGGCAGCGTGTAAAGAATAAGCGTCTCTGCTCAGGAGTCTCACGGGCACGATGTTCTCTTTCCCTCTCTCTCCTACAACGAAGGGCATCCTCTCAAGACTGATCCATGATTGCGAGAGTACGGAGCTACACACCAGAGTGACTACACAAACACACTAGCATGTGGAAATTTGGAAATCATTTCGGATAAAAAGAAGCGCGTAATCCTGGAGCATGCGCACTTACACGGCGGCGTACGCGGTCGGTCGCTAGAAAAATCGCGCCGTTCGGACCACTAGGTTAGCTCGCTCCCGCTCCTTCTGGAAGGTTGAGACCTATGAGAAAGATGGACTACGTTTTGCTCCTCAGAGAATAGAGGTTCCGTATCCAAGTTGTATACCGGTTTCTAGTCCGCCGCCCGCACCCCATTTCAAGAGAACGCAGTTTTGGTCATTATTTCCTGCGCAGTGTTGTACTAATGATTGGCACTTGTCTCGTTTTGACTGTCTTCCCACTATGAATTTTTGTGGTCATTACTAAGTGTAAGCTAGTGACATAATGAGTAAACCCGCCAGCCCACATCTTGACTTGAAAAGGCTCTGACCAGAAACGGAATGCAACTTGGAGTGGCCTAATACAGTATAATAGTTAGACACTGTGACAGTTGATGTGTGTGGGCACAGCAACGTTTGGTGGTAGGGAGTTTTCCCAGACGTAACGAATGTCTCCCAAATCGTGCCTAACGGACTCCTGCATGGTGTACCTGAACGAAGGGTGCATGGGTGGTTGTAAGAATCTGAGTGGGGGAACTAACCCGAGGGAGGAACACCCTGGTGTTTGCATGCAGCGTATGAATGACATTAGGAAAATTGTGTATTGTACATGAGCCTAGGCTGAGTTACACAATGAAGAGAATACATTTGGGTTAGCACAAGAAAATTTCCATACCAAGGTATATTTTAGCTACAGCTTTATGAGCAGCATGTAATGTGGATGACGAGGGAGATAATGTCTACTGCATGGCCTGCAAGAGGTCCACTATTTCAGCTGCTGTTGGACGACGTTTTTTTTCTTCACTCAGACAGTTGCTGATCAGGTTCAAGAGTCTTGGGTCATGGATGGACTCGACCAGTTCAGTAAGACGCTCGGGGGCTGGAAAATCGCATGTAGCTAGCTACACATCTCCACCAGGAGCACACCGAAACTGTAGATGTCCATCTTGGGTGTCTGGAGAGCAGGGTTGCGGGACTCGGGAGCAGCGTACACTGGACTGCCGGGATTCTCGGTCTGCAGTTGGCTCTGGAAGTTGGTGGTGCCGTAGTCAGAGACCTTGGCGAGCCAGCCTCCGTCGGGAGAGGGCTGGAGGAGAACGTTGGCACTGCTGAGGTCCCTGTGGATGATGGGGTCTGGGGTTACGTTGTGGAGATAGTTGAGCGCACGGCCCACGTCGATTGCAATGGAGAGGATGTGTTCCAGAGGAAGACGTTGTCGTGGACGTCTGTTAACCAGAGCTCTGAGACTAGTCGGCATGAACTCTGTCAGAATGGCCATGCCTCCCTCCAGTCTGGCTCCGAGGAAACGGAGCAAGTTGGGGTGGCTGACTCTTGCTGCTACATACATTTCACGTCTGAACTGACGCTCGTGAAAATCGTACATTAACTGATCGTGCAAGCACTTTGCAGCGACTCTCAGTTTGGCAATTTTGACTACAGCCCACCCACCTCGACCCAACTCTTCATCCGTGACTTCCAGTTCATCTTCTTTCACTTCCATGACGGGCCTCGCTGCTCTGATGCAAATGCTTGCTCCTGAACTGCCAACTTCTCGTGCTCCCTCCTCTCGACCACATCCAGTCTCTGTTGTAGCTCATCAGCTCTTGTGCGAGCTTGCTGTATTTCTACCCTCGCTCTTTCCATCTCGCTTTCCAACTCCCTTCTCCTTACCCTTTCCCTCGCCCACTCTCCCTCTAATTCCCTTGCCCTTTCCCTCTCCCTCTCCCTTTCTTCTTCCAGTTCCCTCTCCCTCACCCTCGCCCTCTCCCTCTCCTCCTGTAACTCCATCACCCTCATTTCCCCCTTTCATAATCCTCCTTAAACGCCATTAACCTTTCCCTCTCCCTCTCAATCTCATCTTCACTCTTCTTTGCGTCCCTCTCGTCCAGTGGTCTTGTTGATTGTTGCCAGCTCTCAGTTGTTGTTTTTGGTGTGTTGGTGTTTGTTATATCCCCGCGTCAATTTTGGTTTGTTACCCTGCATACATTTTTATACCGTTTTGGCACTCCCCACCCCCACCATTTTGCTTTATGGCCCCGTTTTTTAGTATAGAAGGTTTTCAGCCCCCCAAATATGCTCTATATAACAGTTTTAAATAACTTATACATGAGTGCGTCAATGTACCATATTGAGACAATGTTGAAATACATCTTTCCCATCCCCGACAAAGCCTTCACATTCACCCATAGCCGGAAAAGAGCTTTGCCTTTTAAATAAAAGAAGAATGCCACCCGGTTTACCACCCCCTTCCACCCTCTTACAGTTGGGGGCCACATGCCCTGGGGGAGAGAGCTTTGAGAACATAACCATCAATAGTTGTTAGAATTTACGAGATATGAATCGGTCCCAGATTACACAGAAGTAGGGTCGTAAAGCATGTCGCATATTTCGTCACTTTTTCCCCCCCCTTTTTTCGTTTTTAAAGTTTTGACCAATGCTCGTGCTCCTGATCCGCACTATACGAGATTAACGCCTTGCCCCCATTTTCTTCAGGTATCAAACTATATAGATTGGTATATGTGGGTTGCCGAAAGAAAAATGCGTATAGGAGGAAAGGCACCGTGTGTCGGTGCGCTGACTTTTGGGAGTCTGTTACATGAATGGATGCAAGCGTGTTGGTATAAAAAGATATTGGAAATAGGTAAAATTTCGGAAGTGATTCCTACAGCTATCAATCTGATATGATGTTTTCGCTAATAATCATATTATGGGGTCCTGTTTCCTTTGGGTGTGGGTTGAGCTTTACGCCTCCGTATATACGTCCACACACCTTAGCTGTATCCTTACAAAACTTACCATCTCAATTCTCTTCAACTTTCGAATATAAGTAGGAGATGGGAATCGAAACTATACTGCCCTACCCTTGCGTTCTTCCTCTCAGTAATCAGCGCTGAAGTGATGGTCTGACCATTTCAATCGTCTCATACGACAGCACTACATGAATCGGACCAAAAAGATAATCGCCACCCTATAGGTAAATATAATTAAAGGTTTATTTGGATGATCTGGTCAATACGCAAGTCCCCCCAACACCAACCTAACCGCGCCCAACAGTAAGCTCTATCACTTATTCACCTCGATTCCCTCACTTCTTACAAGATAGGGGATCGACCAGTATTTTCAGTTGGAAAACGGTGTGAAATGACAGCTTGCAGTACAGCTTAATCTGGGTCGTCCCCCGCCGCGTCGACTTAGCCACTTCCCGACACTCACAGCATTACGGAGCTCCCGTGAACCGGGCAGGTAACAGAGTACAGCCCAGTTCTGTCTTTTCACTCATTCGCCTTCCACCCACTACACATCAGATTGAACTATGCACCCCCTCTTCCCCCCTCTTTCTTTCACCCGTTCTCCCCCCCCCCCCCCCCCTCTTCTTTCCTGTTCTTTCATCCCCTTCACTCCCCCCCCTTTCTTCCTTCCCCCCCGTTGTCCCTTCCTTTCCGTCCCTCTTTTCTTTTCTCCCCTCCCCTTCACCCCCCTTCCTACCCCCTTTCCCCCCCAGCCCCCCGCCTCCCCTTTCCTTTCCCCACAGGGCCCTAAAGCATCTACTTTCAACCATCACACAGCCCAACGATACACAAGCAATTCGAAGGAACCACCACCCGAACATGAGAGGGGACGGTTGGCACACGCATTGTTCTTCAAAAAGGCTCACCCGTCGTAGGGGTCTTTCAGCAGAGAAGCCGACGGCAGTCACTCCGTCCGCGCGCCGGCTTCGGCGCAAACCTGCACCGTTATCGGTACAAATCCCAGCTCCCACTCTGTATGCTGCTCCGATAGGACCTCTTCTGTTCATGTGGGTCATAGATACACGATAATGCAATCGCGAGTTTCCGCAGCGTTACCACTGTGGAGGACAAACGACATGGCACTTTTGGGTGTGACTAACCATTTGTTGTAACTCCCCACCTTAATTGTCCAGCTATACAAACTATCCAGCATCAACTAGACCATACAAGGTAAGTCCTACCTTATAGACAGCAGTGTTGTTTTTCCCATACAAAGACCATTGGAACCCCTGTGCCACATTTATGAGCATTGTTCTTCATCAGCGCCACAAGTATTGGACTGGCATCGCCAAATCCCAACACACACATGGCAGGGGACACCCCCTTCAAAAGGCCAGGCAAACTAACAACAAGATTGTACCCGTCTTGACGACATTAGGCAAACATCTGCAATTGCATAAATACATACTTGCCACTACCGCCTACAATGGTAGGTCACAGACACGGGGATCCTCCCCCTTAAACAACCACTGAGTTGAGCCACTGAAATACTCAGCCTGACCCTGCGTAAGATCGCTTGTCCGTCCTATGGAGAAGACCTTATTCAGCCAATCGGCCATGTAGATACACTCTTCTTATGCACCACAGCCTGCGGCCCCCAGAGAGCTTTCACGGTCTGTTTGAAGTGGCTGAGTCAGAGCAGAGGCGTCGAGAGCCGAGAGAGAGAGATGGGCAGGATGAATTTTCACGAGCCAACTGTCAATACAGCTTTGTACACATCAAACCACCGACCACATGTACATGGTTGATGAACAGATAAGGACTGCTTTGCGTAGTCAGAATGTCTTAGGAACTTACACGGCGAAAGCACAGCGGATTCTACCGTCCTTCATTGTCATGCATTTCAACTCATACTATTGATGACAATTGTCAGGGTCCACAGACACTAGGTACTTTTAGTTGGTGGCATTTGTGGTCTTCACCAACCAGAGGACTTGTGGTCGGGAGTTGTCTGTTCCCCTATACCTTGCAGTTGCACGACCCCGCCCGAGAACGAGTTAATAGGAATAAAGAGTGTGTTTTGTATTCGTGACTGAGGAGAGAAACGAGAGCAGAGAGAGTTTGGACTATAACCTGCAGTGACAGCCGATGCCAAATCGCACGGCTGCCACCCGAGACATGAACAAACTGTATAGAACTGTTATGCACTGCGAGGAAGCCTGTCATAAGTAGCACGCTTGCCCTGCCAGTGAAGAGGAAAGGAAATACAAACAAAACAATTAATGAGGGGAGCATTCTCACTTGACAACAAACACACGACACGCACCACCCGCACGAAAACACGCACGCACTCAAGTAAAATGTTCTATTACAAATAGAGCATGCATCGAAATTGTGTATTAGTACCTGGTACGGGATATGCCAAACGAGACATGGGCGCACAAGGCCATTGAAGCATGACTCAAACCCCACCCCCTCTGTCTGAAATACCAGTGCCTTGCCATATTAGCGCGACTTGGGCGCTGTACAAGAAGAAGAAAACATCTGGAAGCTTATGCCTCATTGCGCCGTCAACCAATGGAAAGCACCGTGACTTTCGTAAACACACCACACTCCCTGATTACGGCCGTCATTCATTACTACAATAAACAATGTATTAGTAACCCTTCCTCGTACCCGGTAAAATACATGAAAGGCGACAAAGGACCCAACAAGCGTCGCCAGCTCACCTCGCATCGTAGTTTCTTTGCGGCTAGTCCAGTGTCATCAGTGCCTTCCATACTACCAGATACACGCAAGCTTGGCTGGGGGCCATCGTGTCTTATCACCCTTGACACACGCGTCTGTCAAATCACCCGAAAAGGGAGCCGCAAGAGAAAAAAGACCTGTCCTTTCGTTTCTATGTCTTGCTCTGTAAACATTGAGTTATCGGAGTCTGTCACTTCACGACTTCCAACGGGCAGGCCCGTGCCGCGTGCTGCAGCCACCCCAGTGCCAACCTACAAGAGTAACACCAGAAACACCACGTCCTATAGTCTCTGGCAACTTTGTATCCCTTGCCCACCAAGCACGCAGCATGCCACATCACACACAAAAAAGATATCGGGATTTACAAGGTTATTTCTTTTTGGTAAAGACAACCCGGCTGAGGTTTGCGACTCCAAATAATCCTCCCTAGCTTGCACTCCCCGACGCCGATGAGAAGGATCTGGTATACGGCTCCAGTAGACATGCTACAGGGAGCC